ATTTCAAGTAACCCAAGGCAGCTGCTGCCTCTGTCTTCCACAGAACAAGCAATTTGGTGTGCTGTCACATCCCTTTACTCACACAGTTAGCAATGTTTGATGGCTTATTGTTAACAAAACTGAACTCAAATATGATGAAATGATGCGCACTCTAATCTTTTGTTTAAGGAAAAGTGCAGTCGTCACACATCTGAGGGGTCGATGGACAAATTTGTATTCATTATTCGTATACTTTTCTCCAATCTTTGCTTTTTTTAGGGGTAATATTGGATAATTTGACCGCTTTTGGCCTCAATTATTTAAATCGAGCCATTTTCGAGGTTGGGAGGCCACATAGCTCTTTAGTAAATGTGCTAACAACTGACAGACTTGTGAAAGGTGAAAAGAGGCCCAAACCAAAACACTCTCAAAGGGTTACAAACAAAAGAGGCTGGGATCCGTCAGCTTAATATTTAATAATAATAACAATCTGAAAGGGCTGTAAAATAAATGTAGTGGAGTACAATTGCAAATGTTCTCTCTGAGATGTAGTGGAGAGTTCCTATAAAGTTGCATTAAATGAAAATACATGAGGTACCTTTAAAATTGAGTCGACTTAGTTACTTTCCACCAATAACTCTAAACTAACTAACTAATTACAGCTGTCTGAGAATGAGTGAGAAGAACCCATTAAAGGAATAATTCTCGCATTTACCTCTGCTTTTAACCCTAACCCCCTCTCCTCTCCTCTTTCTCCCCTCTCCTCTCTTCTCCTCTCCTCTCTCCTCTCCTCTCTCCTCTCCTCTCTTCTCCTCTCCTCTCCGCACACCTCCAGTTGGCTAAAAACCCAATTTACTTTTGTCGTGCCGGAGAGGGTTGTGAGGGTACCCGGGGGAGTTTTGCTGTTGTGTCGTCAGGTAACACACTTTCCAGGGACACGGCATCTGTAGTCCAAAAAGTCACAGATGTATTCATTAATATGAAAATAGGAGGGGGAAATGATAGAGGGGTAGACTGTAGATGAGAGAGAGAGAGAGAGGGAAGAGGAGAGATGAAGAGAAGAGAGGAGGTGGGGAAGGAGGAAAGTGTGTGTGTGGGGGGGAGAGAGAGGAGAGGGAAGGGGGTAAAAAGGTGAGCGACACAAATGCCACAGCACTGATGGAATCCCTGCTCGTCGGGTGGAAAAAAACACACACACACACACCTGTCAGTCAAGTGGCCCCAATTGGCTGTCAGTAGTTGCCATGGTTACCGTCTCCATTCCGCTGTTATCGCACGGCTCTCCCCAGTGAGCAAACCCACAAAGGTGTGTCTTCCGTCTCCGAGTCGTCATATAAAGATGCTGCCTCACCGTCTTTTAGTCCCTGTTTACTTTTCATCATCTGAAGCTCTCTCAGAGGGAGGTTGAGAATGCAAATTAGCGTAACGGAGCACCTGTGTGTGCGTATGTTTGTGTGTGTCTTTACTGCCCATCTGGTGTCAGATTTCACTTCCTGTCGCTGTGATTGATGGCTGTCGGGGGAACTGCGTACGAGGCATGGCCTGGATGCCAGGGAACTGTACCGCTATAGGCTGCCCACAGGGAGGAGAAAAAAGCCTGGTATGACAGTAACGTAGACGCTTTGATCAGATCTGAGATCAGCACCGTCGTATCTACTCGTGACTTAGTGTGTCGGCGATTGTTGTGCTTTAAGATGTAGGAGAAAAGTTGGTTAAAACTGTGGCATGAATAGTGATTCCCTTTGCAGACGTTGGCAAACTTCTCATGAGTTTATTGTTTTCAAAACAACGCCATCATGGCATTTACAGACGATCTATTGGTTTGTTTATGTTAAGAAGTAGGAGAACGTTCTCAACCCATAAAGAAATACCCCAAATTTGGAGATACAGGGCTTTCACATGAACTGTATGTTAGTGATTCAGATCTCATTTTTGATTAAATGTGCAGTATAGGTTCTACAGCGGAACAGGATCTAATCTGCCACAAATGTATTACATGAAGAAAACCCCAAACCCAAACGAACCAACAAGGTAAACCATGCAGTGCAGCGAAATAGATTTAAAGGAAGAAAAGATAATAGCTTAACTGAACTAATCATTTCCCGTCACACACTCATGTGACCACTGCTAACTGCCTCTCAGTGAGCAGGTATTTATGGCTCCGACATTGTAATGATCACCTAATGCGTTATTCGTGGTCTGTTCTTTCTCGCTAATTGCCTTAAAAGCTGCACAGGTGAAAGCTTGAAAAGGCGCATATATATATATATATATATAAAACCAGATTGTCATGGGCTGCATGTCCGCATTCTTTTTTTCTTTTCTTTTGTCATCACATCGCGCCTACTGCCCAGCATCTGTAATTGATTTGATTTCTTTAAAAGGATAATGAACCGTGTGGAGGCTGACTGAGTCACTTAAGAAGTTTGATCATGCTATTTGCACTGGGTCTCACTCAGATGTGGTAAGAGATTAGAAAGAAAGATAAAGACAAGAGGGGGAAAAAAAAAAAATGAAGCGATTAATCTCTCGTGCCGTGTGTGCACCACCAATAGTGAGCAAGCCAGCAGAAAGGACAAAGGTGGTGTTTCTGTGGGGAGGGCTGACGGAGAGAGAAAGTGGCTGCGTCTGAACACACCACAGCAGAGCGCCTCTGGGAAATCTATTGAAGAAATCAATATTTCCTGACGAACGAGTCCTCCGCTTTGCCATTCCCAAGCTGGTCGTCATAGCCGATTGGTTGATTTATATATTCATGTTTTTGTCTTTTATTTGACCAAAAAAAGGCATATAATCAAAAACACACATTACTGGTGTGAGAATATAGAGTTTTTGGGAAACTCTCGGCTAAAAATACTACCACACTATTTTAGCGTGGTACCTTTTTTTTTTTTTTTTTCTTCCCGCAGACCTCTCTGTGACTCGGATGGCAGCTTTTAGCTTTCCGCTGCCTGCCTCTGCATGAAAGGAGGGAGAGAAAAAGAGAGAGAGAGAGAGAGAGAGAGAGCCATGACTCATTCACATTATCCTCTGAAGTGGAAATCCTGAAAATGTGTCTCACTCACACACACACACACCACACACACACACACACAGAAACACACAGCTCGTGTGCAGGGGGAGCCCAGGAGCCCATTCGGAGTGCCACCATGTGTGATGTGCTTCGAGCAGCAGCCGGTTAGAGAGCGTGGAGCCTCACATTTCCTCTCGAAGGGAGAAAGTGCATTTTAACTTATTTTCCCAAACTGTACCTCCGACTGGGGGGGGGGGGGCACATGGGGCCACATGGTGCAGAACAGATGACGGAAGAGAGACTGAAGATCTACGGGACGTATTTAAAAGTATCTTTATCGACAAACGTTCATGCGATCGACTTCACACTCCCCGGGTGAGTCGTATTGGACCCGAAGAAGAAGTTGAAGTTGTTTGGATGAGCCAAACCACTAGAGGTCAGCCGATCGGCAACCTTTTGGAGCAGGCACCTTTTCAGCGGGCTCTGCACTAGTCTTTTAAATTCCACTTGATTCCGCTGTCACTAGGCAACAGCATCCCACACCTGTTGGACCAATTAAGTAATGTCTGACAAAGATAATGCCAAGTCACATGAGTTTACCATGCTGGTTTGCACAGCTTTAGCCATCAGTCAGGCTAAGCTTTAAAGCGCGTAAACAGTAGTATGAACGGAAAGGTTTAGCACATCTAAACTGGATTATTGTGTCCATCTGTGGTTTTTGGTTGCTGAGGACTCATTACACAGTAGGCAAACACCTACGGGTGATGTTGAGTCCGCAGTGCACCCGCTGTGCATCTTTGCATTATGGGAGGAAACACTGTAGTGACCTGGAACATGTAACCTGAGCCAAAATGCAACAAACAACGGCTTAAAATGCTTAAAAAGTTTTGTCTTGACGGCAAATCGTTGTGCAAAGTTCCTTGACATACATTTGATATGAGGAGCGAGTGAACTGATGAGGGGCTGGGCGGATACCAGAGGTGACAAACACGAGAGAGAGACAGAGAAGGAAATGCCGTACAGCAGGTGGTGTTGATGCGTTCACGTGAGGAAGAGTGAGAGGTATAGAGATAACTGAGAGTGAGCCGAGGAGCAGAAAATGACTGCAGACAGAGAGGCTGTCACTGAAAACCAGCTCGCTGCCTGGGCTCTCTCCAGGTTTCGGGGGCTTTCTCTGACGGCTTTTCACAATCCCCGGGATTCAAAGGATGACTGGAAGCATTACCCACATTTCCATGTCTCCTCCGCAAACCCGGAAACACCAGTGCACCTTTTAAATCGATGAAAGGCCAGATCGGGTAGAGTAGATCTTAATTGTCGTCGAGGCCCTTAACACGCTCAAGTGATTTAACCTCATTGACGAGTTAGCGATCCCAATCTCTCCTCTCCTCTCTGGACCATTAGGTGCCATCATCATCATCACCACCACCGTCATTCATCTCATTATTCACAAATCTGAATTAATGATAAGGTTTTATGCCACTTTCACATCAGGCCTTTTAGTTTCCTTCCTCTTCTTGGGGAACATGAATTTGTCACGGTTTCCTTGAAGTCCATCTCTGCTGAAAGTGAAGACGCAGTATCCCACTGTAGAGAGCGGGATCTTAGACATAGTGTTTTTCAAGCATGAAATTAGGAGCCATAAAAATCGGAGGTGCACGTGGAGCCTGGACATGTAGCTCAGTTTGTCTCCTCGTGTCGGGTTTAACCGAAAAAACAATTCACTGCGGGAATCGAGATGCTGTGGAGAGAAAGCTCCTTGTGGCTAATGCTGCGGTACATCCAGTATTTCAGATATTTTTTGTGTATTCTCACACCTCGGACAAGAGTTTCACAGAATTACTGTAAACAGAGCGTGATGCTATCGTGCTGACTCGTTGCCAAAAGAGTACATAAATAGTCAGTGTGTTAAAAACGCATTCAGTGCCATGTTTGGACATGTTTTCTTTTCCCCTCTCACACAAGGAATCTGTGTTTGTGACTGCTTTCCCCCTTTGTGTCTCCACAGAAACCTGCTGGACAGGGACACCTTCTCCAAATCAGACCCAAGTAAGACCCACCACCTGTCTTGTTGTGTGTTTCTATCAGTGCATGACTGTTAGATGGGATAGCAGAAGATCGTGGCTCTTTATCGTTCCCCAAAATCACAAAAGGAGAAAGTAAGGATAGACAAGAGGGGCAAGAAGGAAGGTTTGAAAAAGTATAGAACAAGTGTCAAAGAAGCAACTAAGGGATGGAGCAATGAATAAAGGACCAATAGAAGGTCTTTTGTTTTGCCATGTGAAGTTGTGAGTCACTTCTTGTGTGTGTTAGGTGTTGTTTTTCTTCACTAAATGCGTGAGAAGGGCTGGAGGCGAGTCTGACTAATGCATGAGGCCAAATGAAGAAGCTTCTCTCTATAGATTCACAGAATCGTTGGTAGTTCTCCTCCTCTCCTCTCCCAGCAGCTTAAAATCATTCGAATAATGGGTTATCAATTGAAGACACCAGAGATATTACTGTTCTCCATGAGACGCTCAGTTACAATATAGCTTCCCACCACCTGGTGGCGGTAATGCGTCAGTCAGTTGTTGTATCATCTCATTTATTTGACAAGGGTTTTGCCTGTTCAACTCCGCGAGGACGCCGGCGTCCTCGATCCCCTCCCCTTCCGTTCCGTTCCTACGGCTTGCTTGCGCAAAATACGTCAACATGGCCGTGTTTGGTATCCCAGCATGCCCAAAACCCTCATCTTTGCAAAGAAATCATCGATTTTCTTTAATTTCTTATGGATTTTTCACAAAAGGAGCCCAAACACACACTGTCCAAAGTCGCCATAACCGCTGTAAGTCGGATCTTGCAGCATTTCGACTGAAAAAGACACATTACAGACCCAACAATGTGCTAGCGGATGTTACCATGGAGCTAGTGGCTTCAGAAAACACTGGTACTTAAAGTAGAAACCTTATCTTCCTCTTCTAATAAGCCGTCAACCAACGTATGACCTTGCGTAACTGAGCTACCCGCATACTCGATCGTGCGCTCGGTCGCAGCCATTACGCACAGCAAGTCCACTACTCACACACCAAGTCTTCGACCATATATATATAAATATATATAAAAGGAAAATAATATAATATCAAAATATAAAGGGAGAAACACCTTTAGTGTGTCAGAATATCATTTGGTTACCATGTGTCCATTTGGGTCTCCAAATATCCTTTTAGAGCTCCGCCTGGATCTCTTCATGGAAGAAACACTGTAGAATGGTCATACTTTGTCCAATCTTCTTCAAATTTGAGGCAGTTGTTCACTGATAGTGTAGTTACAGCCCTATACTGTCCTTTACCTGTACAGATACAGCCACAGGCAGTTATTTATACTGAAAGATACTTTTTTATTTTATGCGGACAAAAATCTTCAATTTTTACCTACTCCAAAGGCCCACTGCTCTGTTTCTATATGACCTACAGGTTTTCTGACACTTTTGATGCATATAGTCACAGTGGTTCAGAAGCTACAGCCATTTTAATTTGGGTATGTCATTTTAGGCGGTTTTGCTCCAAAATAGGGGTGGAGTTGAACAGGTAACAATATAGTTATTGAATACAAATCAAACCAAGAGTGAGATCAATTAGTTAAACTAATAGTGTTAATATTTGAATGGGCCCCGGGACACTTTGTACTTGAAAAGTTGGGCCCCGAGGTCAAAAAGGTTAAGAACCCCTGCACTAGACCCTAAAGAGGGTGAACACTGTGTACCGCACCCAGGCTCTATTAACGCAAGTAGCAGTCAGCGGGTAGAGGACGCGCCAATCTCACCCTCTGAACAGCAGGGACAATCAATGATGAAGATGGGAGGCGGGTGAAAGTGTCGTTGTTGACGTTATTGTCTCCTAAATATAAAGACTAGTCGGAATAATGCAAAGGTCAGCTTCATTGTCTGGGATCTGTTTGGCTGTGATGACGCACATCGGAAAACTCAGCTTTATCTGTAAGTGAACTGATAAATTAGCTTCTACACAACACAACAAGTAGCTTTATACTTTCCTATACTTCGTATCCAGCACATTACTTTCTTTGCTCGAATAAGGATTTGTCCCCAAATGTTGGGCTATTCCTTTAAGAGAGTTTTGTGGTGTGTTGAGTGGTTTGTAAATGTTAGAAGTCAAAAAATAAGATAATATCATCATTATTATGAAGAGGATATTTGTCGTATTGAGGTGTTTATTTGAGATTATGATGTCAGGATGACTTTCGGTGGTACTATGACCCACCACACACACACACAACACACACACACACACACACACACACACTGCTTTTAAAGAACGTAGTACGTCAGCACATTCACAGAAGCATGGGTTAAAAAGGACTCAAGGTGATGATGACAGTGATGAACCCGATGACGAGAATGACAGTGATTCACATGATGAGGATGATGTGGAGGAGGAGGAGGAGGAGGCAGCTCAGGCTTTACCCATACATTGACTCTTTCGCTGAGTAGCACTTGATGTTATGCTGAGCACGCCGACTTCGGTCTCCTTATGTGAACCAGCCCGACAGGAGTAAAGATCAAGGAGGTGGAAGGGATGAGGAAAAAAAAAAAGAGAAGGTCTGAGACACTGGAAATATAGAGATCACTCGCTGGTGGAAAAAAACAACCTTTAAATGTAAAGAGCAGTGATCCAAAAAGAAAAGCAAGACGTTTGGTACAAGTGGGATAGAGACGTAAAGCCCTTCAAGATATGAAGAAACCATGAAGAAGTTTTCTTTTATATTATCGGTTTAAATCTGTCTGTTCCCTAAAATATAGTTTCTATCAGACCCCAGAAATAAGAAGGAAGATCTGTGTGTGTGTGTGTGTGTGTGTGTGTGTGTGTCTGTGTGCGTGTGCGTGCACGCCCATTGATATGTCACTTATCGGAGAAGAACATCAAAGGGCCTCCTGTAATGAAGTGTATGATGAGTGAGCTCAGTAATTTGCCTTTTAGTGAATTGTCTCGTTTGGGGGAAATTGCATAATGTGCTGTAATGATGTCTTTCACCATCTGAAGACGGGGAATATGTTTGGGCTTCATGAATACAACTATTAGGTGCTTTTGATGTACTGTCGTTTCTAATTCATGCATTTATGGCTTGTTAGTCATGCTCTAATGGAGGCAATAAATACCGTGACATTTGAGTTTGTTTTTTTATTTATTTACTTGGTGTTTTTATGAGTAATGTTCCTTTATGCTTCCCTTAGTTATCCTAGCTGCCAGTCAGAAATATATATGTCATAAAGAAGAATCCTATTGCGCTAATAGGCAGCTAGTTGTTAGGTCCAGTATATGAATAATTGAGAAAGTTTTGAGGACTTTTAGCATGCACAGTTAATGATCTTTAATGTCACGTGTGTCTGTTCTTCACAGTTTGTGTTCTCTACGCACAAGGCATGGGCAACAAGGAGTGGAGAGAGGTGAGAACTACAGAGGAGTATGTATCACAGTATGTCGCCTCACCAGTCTTCATCCAAAATGCGTCATTTCAGCACAAACAGAGACAACAACAGACTCCACTGTTGCTTCTCTGCAGCCTTTACATTCTATTCACTCATCAGTTGGCTAGCTACGGTACAACAAGAGGCTACAGCTATGCTAGCAGCGCCGTAAGGCTGTGCTTGTGCACGGCGGCGCTTTGAGGTAAATGCTAATGTCGCCGCGCTAACATGCTGAGGGGTCATTCGTACGCTCCCAGGCTCCTCATTGGTCGGGGCAAAACTGTCTTGCTTGCAAATTTGAGGTCATAGGTTTTAAGCAGTGTAACAGCAATAAACGGGAGGTGGCTGCATTCAACACACTGTATTGACTCAGGGAAACATACATTGAATATTTGAACACATCTTTAAAATGTGTCACATTAATATTTGCAATATAGAATGCTGCAGTGATGTATTTTTGTAGTCCAACACACGGAAAAGTTAGCAGTCGACAAAAAAGCCATTGGGATTTTTCCTTTTGATTTTTTGATTATTGCTAACAATAAGCTCTGTGGCAAACGCAAGTTTATGATACGTACACGTTTGGTTCAGCAAAATAATAGACACAGATGAACACCACTTTTAGGGTTTTTGAAGTGTGAATGCGATGGGGCAGAAGCAAAAAGCTAGTTGGGCTATAAATGAACTGCACCACGGTCACATGATCGCGATCATACACAATGCGGCCGTGAGGCGAACTAGTCGGCATGATGACGTGTTGTAGTCTCATAATGTACAACTGGAGCTGGTTAGTTTAGCTTCAGTCATGCCATCGTGGAAGCTGTAGATACTATGAAGTAATAGTGTTATTGAAGTTCTGGTCAATTTCATTCACTTACATGAACTTCTTCTGATCGGTAAGCCCGCTTTTGTGCTCGCAGACACAACGAGTACCGACAGCTTGTTTATAAGTGAATATTCATGAATCTAAATGAGGGGGCAAATGTTGCACCTACAATCATCCCCAGTTATTCAGAGTTCTGAGTAGCCCATCATCTGCATGTATTATAAACAAATGCCAAAGCGGAAACCTCCCTGATCCCCATTGGCTTGATACCGCATCAGCTCTGCATTCATTACTCTGTAGCCGCCGATAATCTTCCGGAACCAGCCGCTGCCCTGACGTGTCACCTGAAGAGTGATCAGTTATGAGTTCTGAGTTTTAAGGCTCGGCGAGCTGCAGAAATATTAAACCTTCAGATAAACGGTTTCATATCAACGTGGACATCTGCATAGATTGTGAAGATTTGGGTCATCAAACTGACATTCTTTTGTGTTCCCAACATTTCGAAATACAGAGATATGTTGAAGAAACTGTGGTTTTCCCAAAAGGTATTCTTATCCGTCTTCCTTTCTCTGTGTAGTTTGGGAGAACAGAGGTGATTGACAACACGCTAAACCCAGACTTTGTGCGGAAATTCATTTTGGACTACTTCTTTGAGGAGCGACAGAACCTGCGATTTGACTTGTAAGTAACGCCGACACCTGTGTGTGTGTGTGTGTGTGTGTGTGTGTGTGTGTGTGTGTGTGTGTGTGTGTGTGTGTGTGTACGTGTACGTCATTCTGGTATTAATATTTGCTGGAATCAATTCTTGTTCTGGCACCAGACATTGTAAAGGTCAAATAGCATTTAAGGTTCAAGAGATGATCTTTGGTTAACTCAAATGTTGGAAGCCTCTTCTAGAAAACATCTCTTTCACCTCATTACTTCCTAAAATAGGCTTCCATTAAACCTCAGTGAGGCTCCAGATGTCACCTGCAAAATGTGAAAATTATTAGATTCCATAACTATTTGATTCTAGTGCTACAAATATGGCTGTTTTATCTTAGATTTGTATCTCTTTACTGGATAGTCGTTGGCGAGCAACACCGTTATCTACTCAACTCTAATTAACTTAATTTCACCAAGAGAAGATTAAGTAGATCGCATAATGCATGTGACACTTACTATTAATTGATACCACCTAATAAAGGCTTATTATATAACAATTACAGCAGTGGTTCTCAAACTTTTTCTGTCGCGCCCCACTTTGGAGGAAGAAAAATGTTCATACCCCAACAAAATTGTAACAAAATGGTCTACGTTGAATTTTTATTGAAATAACATTTTGTGACTCCTCCATCTGTGCTTTTTCAAATAATAGAATAAAGAAAATTGCAATCACTTTTAAGTAAACCAGATTGCTCCATCAGACAAAAACAAATAAAATGTGCAATCACTTTGTTAGAACAATGCAAATAAAGTTATATCTGTGCAAAAAAGAACTACAATTTGGCAAAAAAATTGCTTATTGCAATTGCCTGCAATTAACGTGTTTTGCACTAAACATCTTTTCAAGATAACAAAGTGCAACCTGTGAAAAACTAAACAAAACAAGTTCAAATATTTGGCTATAAAGAGTTTTACACTGCATATGTTTTCAACAATAACGTCCAACCTGTGCATATCTCATAAAAATGAGATACTATCTCGTAATAATGAGATACATATCTCATAATTATGAGATAGTAAGTCATAATTATGAGATGCTAAGTCATTATTTTGAGATAGTATCTCATTATAATGACTTACAGGATCTGTAATTTTTCCTCACAGTGGCGGAAACGGGCTTCCATACTTTATTAATTACTTTAACAAAAAAAAAAAATAATAATTCTGCATTTCCCCCTGCGCCCCACCTGTAATACCACCGCGCCCCACTAGAGGAGCGCGCCCCACAGTTTGAGAACCACTGAATTACAGGAACAAGGGCTTAATTTGATACAGAAATGTACTGAAGAAAGAAGATAATTGAACACACTCATTATTTAGTGCTTTAATGTAGATTTAAAAGTTGTTTTCAAAAGTTATACACTGACAAATCTTCCTAACTCAGAGCGACTTATTACACAGAAGTTTATCATAGTACATCACTGAGACAGCTTCATCTGTTATGATGCATTGCTGCGCTCATTATATTGGTTGATGGCAAATTCAAAAGCAGTATTGGTATCCGTCCAATATCACTCTTACTGATATTTGGCAGACTGTGGAATTGGCATGCCTACTGCTAAGTACATTCTCTGAATTAGTAAAGTAATAAAGCACTCTGTTCCCTGAATTGCAAATTGTGCTGAGTTTCAAAGTATGAGCCTGCTCTGCATCTGTTCGTGGCCTAAAGAATACACGTATATATATATCGGTATGGGCTTGTATCTGTGGAGGAAACCACCTTGTGAGCACTGTAGCACATAACGTTATATATTATAAATGCACCTGTTATAAGCTCTTCTATAATAATAGCGTTCCCATGCACAGAGGCATAAGATGCTCTCTGTAGGAGACAGTTGGTCGTTAGCGTCATCAGGCCTTCTTTTAGGTGAAGGGATTCTCTTTCTCAATTTGCTCTCAGATCACATTTCTCATTGAATTACAGAGAGGATTTCAGTGGCTTTATTTTATTAGATGGAGACTAATTATGTTATAATCTATGATCCAGGGAGCCACGTTGGCAACCCAACTGGGATCTGAAAGTTAGACTCTGAAGACGAGTTTCTGTAGATGTCGTGTGTGTGTGTGTGTGTGTCCCTAATTTACTGTTGCTGTATTAGCATTGGTCCTGGTCTAATAGCATGCGTGTGTATCTGCACTACTGTGAATGCATCATGCCGGTTTCTGGGGGAAATAAAATAGTGGTGTGCACACAACTTTCTTGCTCTACACTTTGATGACCGACTCAGTGATCCACCTTGATTACCGCTCATGTGGCTGTGCTATTTTCATGCATCTTGCCACCTCTCTGGCCATCACACTGTTTAAATTACAGTGAAAACAAATATGGGGGGTAAAAGGAGGTCAATTGGCTGGATTTCCTGAGTCAGTGGATCAACGTATGGTGTCTCTTAGTGCACGTAGAAGCCATGTTTTTCCCCCATGCCTGTGCTAGTGTTTCAGTATCTCAGCTGGTTGCTCTGTCACAACACATCCTTGTATTGTCATCTCAAAAGAGACGTGTCAGCCGGCCACGTGGACAGACCCTCTCCAAGGCAAAAAGCGAAGCCGGGGGCGCACCGCTCGTGCTTATGTGTGCGGTTTCGCCATGGTAACCATAGCAACCTGGGGGAGGGGTTCCAGGGGCGGCTGGCAGCAAGTGTGATATAGGAGCGGACAGAGTTCCTTCAGGGAGAGAGGAGCTTTTAACCCATCGTCATCATCTCCGCTCTGCCTGCACCACTTCCACGTACAGCGCCGTGTTACGACTCGGTATACATCAGCACACATTACTACCGGTTATGTTGTTTAACTTTATGATTCCAACTATGATTAAAAAAAAAAAGTTTAGAGCTGCTCTGATCCTCTGAATCACTTCCAGGTGCTGCTATGAAGAGCCCTGTTTGGATGCTGTCAACACTTTAATGTGTTTTATACCATCTATGTATTTTTATCATATCCCCCGTGTGTGTGCATGTGTGTGTGTGTGTGTGTGTGTGTGTGTGTGTGTGTGTGTGTGTGTGTGTGTGTGCTTATTTACGTGTCCTGTAACGACACACACAAGACGCACACACTTCCCTAGTGGGAACACACTTCCCTAGTGGTGCTGTGGCATTCTCATGCTCAGGAGATGTCAGGGCGTCGTGACTTTCTATGCCTTCTCGTTTGTTTAGGTTGCTGCATAAATGTATGAATACATGTCGCTGTGCCCGCGGTCTCTTGAGTGGTTCTCTGAATGGATGTGAGCATCTGAGGAACAAAACGGCGCCCTGGCTTTTTGTCCGCCCGTTTGAGTGCGTTGGTGTCCCGCACACGTGTGCTCCTCGCTCTTGCTGACATGTCCAACAGCCGCAGATAGCCGGCAGAGGGAAACACGGTCTGAGACGAGGGCAGATGAAAGAACGTCTCCTCCCTCAGGGCCGCGAAGATGGGATCTGTGTGAAGATGTTATGAAATACTACAGTGTGTCCTCTGAATGTGAATTGTGAGACTGCACCGTGTGTAATGCACCTCTCTGCAAGCCTGCATCGCCATTTATAGTCAGGATACGTATTTCAGCACAGTGTAGCATACAGTCATTCTACTACTCTGGTGATCCTCTACCGTTTCAGTGCCACCATGACGTTGACATTTTTGATTTGTATTGCAATATCTCAACAACTATTAGATGCGTTGCCATGAAAATTTTGAAATTCATGTTCTTTAGAGGAGGAGTTGTAAAAACGTCTTTCCCTCCCTTTCATCTATAGCACCATCATCAGGTCAATCGTTCACGCTGTATAATACTAATATCATTTCCATCAGCCTCAGCTGTGTGTTTTGTGCTAAAATATTAGCATGCTAACGTGCTCAAATAAGACTGTTAACATTGACATTCTGCAAAGAAAGCTAATGCCTGCACACTTAGTACACACATGCCGCAAAAAAATGATAAATGACTACGTTTCTATCCTCCTCGGATATTTGTGACATCAAAATATCTAATAATATCCATAATTTATACACCATAGGCAAACAAGCTCTATCGTGGCAGGTGTGGTTCATCCCCAAAAAAAACATGGGGATTAAACATCAACACTTAACAGTTCAATAAAGTACATTGACAGAGAGTAATACAATCGCCATACTTTTAAATATCACACATACTATATTTATAAACGTGAGGATGAATATGTCATATAAGAAACTACATCCTCCAGGTTAGCCTTACACCTACGCGATCTGCGTATTATTTAATTTTCTTCTGGCAACATGCTAACATTATCATGGCGAGCGAGTCAGCATGCTAATCTGAGCTAATTTAGCTGTGTTTGTGTACAGCCCCACAAGGCTGCCAGCTTTAGGCTTTTGTTTCTTCACAAGGAGCAGAGCCATGAATGAGTAACATGGGATTTATTTGTATTATTATTATTTATTTCCGCCCCCTCAGCTTTATACAATTACAGTGAAACAGGGTGTCTTGATTTGACAAGTTTACATAGAAAGTAGGGTATTTGTCTGTTTGTCCGAGTCAGTAGGGACACATGTGTGGATGACCGTCTTAATGGTTTGTCCAGTTGAACACGCTGACAGCTGAAAAAGCCACAGACGCTGATGATAAGACATAATGTGATTGTGTTTGAATACTCAGTCATGCTTCAGATTTAGATTCATCTAGAATCCTAATTACCCCATGCACAACACACACACACACACACACACACACACACACATATCACTGTACTTCTATCTTTGTGAGGACACTCATTGAACTAAGGCCTTCCCTAGCTCCTTACCCTGACCTCACTCACTGAGTGAACGGCTTGTCTGATTGCTTCCCATTCTTTGGAGCGTAGCCTCTGCACTGGAGGCGCCATGTCCGGACGCATCATCGCATGCATCGTGTGTCGCGAGACACCTGCAGGTGGAGTGGAGGAATAAAATGCAGGAATAATATTCCAACATGCGTCAACAAATAACGCGATAGCCCACTGAGAGACACGCTAATACGCCGAGACGGAAACCCTGACAGACACTTGTTTACTCACTGGCACAATATTTCTCTCCGTTGCCTCACTCACATGTATGTATCACTGCTAATTAGTGCATTTAGCGTCACTTTAATGGAGGATGCCTTGGAGCCTGTGATGCTGGGAAAGTGAAATACCCAGAGCCTCCGGCGAGATCGTCGGTGACAAGCTGCTTGGCCCCATTACTGATTTACTCAGCCTGTAATCCCTGTCGCATTCGCAGCTGAGCTCCTGTCACCATCCATCTCTTCTAATGCACTCACTCTCCGCTCTCTTTTCCATTTTTCCACAGGTACGATGTTGACTCCAAGAGCGCCAACCTGTCCAAACACGTGAGTGCTCAAAGCTTTTTTTTTTTTTTTTTTTTTTGGTGCGTGCAATGTGACATGTACGATTGCGTTTATTTTTTCGTCACTCCCCACTTTTGCTGATTTTAATTCGGTGTGAGTGAGTGTTTGTGTGAGCCTGATTGCTGTCCTTGTTATTACCTCCCATTAGCCTCATTTCAGCCACATAACAGCAATCTGGCCCTTACAATGAGTGTGTTTATCCTCTACTGTAATAATAATAGCACATTCCCTGAGCGGCCCGGTGGTTCATCTCGAAATGAAATAAACACCGATAGCCCCTGTCCACCCTGCTTTTCACACTGATAGCAGTGATTAGCATAGTGGTAATTAGGAACAACAATGTGATAACTTTAGTCAGTAATGGCTGTGTCCTGCCTACTGAACTGTGGGGATTGTAGTTCAGACAGTCAGCGGTCGTGCCGTTGAAGGATTTCCTCGGTAATGTAGAGCTGGCGGGAGCATCGTACTTCATACTCGGTCCTCTCATCTAACTCCCGGCAACAAATCAAATCAGCATATTTTCCAAAAAGTCTAACTTTTCCTTTGTCTTTTATTGTTCCTTTGTCGTACAATAACAGGGGAAGTGACTGTTTAAATGATTAACTTCTGTCCATTCACTGAACTGTTTGTGTATCCTGACGGTCCGTACTCGTCTGTAATCTTGTGTGCACATCTGTTTTCATGAAACCGGCTTTCCAGCAGTATCTGAGACATGTTTGGGCAGGTGATTGCCGCAGCAACGGTCAATACTGACCTGGACTGTCTGATAAAAGGAAATCGTTGCAACAATAAAAATGATGGGAGGCAATAAAGTATCATACAACAGCATTAACAGCTGTCTTTTCTGCTCATAATCTCCGACCGTTATCTGGACATTTACATTTATAGCTTCACTGTCTGTAATAGCCGGTGTGCTATCAGGCTTTGCTTCCTCCCTGTATTCAGCAGCTTTGTGTCTGTGGAAAACTCCTGAAATGAGTTACACACTCTTGACTTTTGTGTCCCAGTGTCCCCTCTGAGCAGAGCGGCAGATGGGGACTCACGTTCTGAGGTGTCCCGCTCCAGCCCTCAACACTCTTACCAGTGTTTGCTCTTCAGTGTCTGACCCCACCGGTATCATACGACATATACTTGAGGTTTTAAGATTAGGATACATTTGAGCATGTTTCAGTCCAAATTTTAAAAGCCTACAGTCATATTAAAGACTAATACATAGAAGACTTTCCTTCCAAGTTGTGCAAGTTATTTTTTTAATAGTTTTCAGAATGTAACGTGATAGAACAGCACTCAGACACGAATGATAATGCTACAATGCTAATGTCCGTCTGTCCAAGGGGGGACTTACTTAAAGGAACAGTGTGTAGTATTTAGGACGATCTATTGGCATAAATTTAATATAATATTTCTAAATATTTGTCTTTAGTGTATGTTCACCTACAAAATAAAAATGGTTGTGTTTTTATTACCTTAGAATGTGGCGTTCATATCGACATACAGAGCGCGTCGTCTCCATTGAGCCGGTCGCCATGTTTCTACAGTAGCCCAGAACGGACAAACCAAACACTGACCCTAGTTAGTGCCCTCTGCGTTTTTTACATTTCTTGCGTCAGCCATTGTAGTCGTGCTACACGCTTTGGCACACGGAGAAGTTTGAGTCGGTTGCAACCTGCAACCTCACCGGTAGAAGACACTGCACCTTTAAGTAATATATCAGCTGAGTAAGTGAAACATATGATATCTTTCTGCACATTCTGTTTTAAAGGGAATCTTACAGTATTTAACATCATGTAGGTTTCAGTGCAGAATCAAAGTAGTGGTGTTTCATGTTAACATTAAAAACCATCAAGTCTCTGAGCTCCTAACCAGCACAACGGTTGAAATCGTGGGGCGTATAGATGTAGTTAATCTACCCTCAGCATAGAAATGTGGCATTTACATGCAGTATCAAGGAAAGGGAAAGAAAAGATAGTTATTTAGCGTTTTAAATCATTATGACGTTGATAATATAATGGAGCTGCAAGGCTGTGTCCTGGTCACTGATTGGTATCTACCTCCAACAATAGCTCATTTGGAGCTTACGTCAAAATTTCGTTGTTGTTTTGTTGTTGTTTTTTTTAGTTGTGGTTTTAAAATAGCTCTATGAAAGCCATTAAATGCACAGCTGTCATTTATTTGTCAGTAACTGTATGAAATAAATTGAATACTACAGTGAGAAACACTCGCAAAGCAGATTTAGTCCCTCTTAGTTTCCCCTCAGGATTTTCTCTCTCCTCGTCTGTGGCTTTGTTGTCTCTCTGGATGCAATCCATCCCTCTTGTGCTTTTCCCGTCTCTGTTTCTTGTCTCTCCCTCTTGCCGTGGCAGTCTGTCACCTTTTCCTTTTATTTCATTGCCGTACCCTTGTTCTCTCACTTTCTCTCTATCTTGATCTCTCCATTCCCCCCCCCCCCATCTGCTTCTACCTTTGCCTCACTTTCTTGCGATCAATAATCTCATACAAGAAGAGACAGGCATGTTGGCTCGGAGGCAGCGTACCATGCAGGTCTCCGGAAGGGGGTGGGGGAGTGGGGGGCTAGAGAGCCAATCCATTAGATGGTGTTTTGAACGTGGGAGCCGTAGGCTGCAGGGGAACACCTGGGAACCGGGTGAGAACGGGGAAAAACCACACGCACACGGTCCTGATCATGAGATCTCACTCATTTCCTGTATATCTCTATATGATATGATAGACAGGCTGACTCTTGGGTTGCCAGGTTGTGAAGATGTGTTTATCCTCCAGCAGGAAACTTTTGTATTTAATCTCTTTAATTGATTATCAATTGATCATTATGGACCACTTACCTTCTGAAAAAACCTGCGGGTTTCTCAGAGAAGTTTTTTCCAATATTGTCGTATTGATTTTGAAAATCTCGGCATGAAACTTCTCCAGCTCATGGATGAGAAGCACTGAGCTCCCAGCATCATCTCCATAGTATCCATATCCAATGTTTTATCCTCCTCCTCCTCCGCCGCAGATCTCCGTCTTATCAAACTGTTGATTTTACCAGAACATTACTGAATGGAGCTGCACCCACACACAGCTATCTTTCTTTCTTATTAAATCTTTTTTTAGCCCACGCTGTTGTATATTTAGCCATTACTTGCTCACAGCCAAATCTCCGATGGACCTCACGCTGGCAACAGCCACGGTTGCTAGGCGATTTGGGACTTTACTGCACAGCCTCTACATCATAAACAGTGGAAAATATCATGAAAAATATAATTTTCCATTGTTATTTCAGCACTAGTGGCCAACACAAATTTGTTTATGGCAAAGGAGAGTCATGTGACCGTATCTGTGCAACACTGATGGGTTCAATGAGGTAGACGGGTTGACACGGAGAAGGCTAGATGGATGGCTGTACAGCCAGAATAACCCAATTTTCTAATCAACGGAGCAAAGAGAATCCGTTGCCTTAGTGCCGCTCGGAGCGGCTCCAGTCAGATATTAGAGACGGCGTCCAATAAGACGAACGGTCTCAACAGCGTGCCCCCTGGTGAAACCGGGATCGAGGTGGCAGGTTTTCTGTAACAGCTTCTATACAATTAGAGGGAGCGACCTGCCGTACTGTTACAGAAGTTGTGTTCCGAACTTTTATTTTGAAGGCTGCCATCGTTTTGCGCAGACAGACTAACATTTTATGAATCCCACATGGTCATGCGTACACATTTAGTCTGCAGCTGTCTCCAGGACCGATGCACACACATTTTGTGTGCGTATACTCTTCTCTCCATCTCACTGCCTTTGCGTCTCTGCCAGCTGTGAAGTTTCATTATGGGATGGCAACTTAATCTACCAGGAAAGTGGTAAGGGAGCAGAGTGGGGCTCAATCTACCCGGCAGTATTATCCGTCAATAGGGAACATGGAGATGAGATCAGGGACAGGGGCCTTTTTATGTCCATTTTTTTAATTTTATGAATTTAATTTTATGTGCGTTTTAAAAGCCTCCCTCTCTCTTTCTCTAACTCCGCAGGACTTCCTGGGCCAGGCCTACTGCACCCTCGGAGAGGTGGTCGGATCATTGGGCAGTCGCTCGGAAAAAGCTCTCGGGTGAGTCGTAGGTGTGCCCACAGCTGGGAGTGTGCTCCAATGTTGATCGATGGTCACAGCAAATGAGTAAAGAGTGGCACATTGCAGCTCATTATTATAGAAACATTATGAAGAGGATTAAACACAAAACTCATCCTTTTTAAGTGAGTACACACTACATTCTCCAAGAACTTTGTACATTTTCTGTCTGGAAGACTCTCTGCTGCTCGGTAATTAGAGAGGCTGAAGCAGTATCAATGTTCCCTAACATCTTTTTCCGGGGGTACTAAACTGAGGAACAGTGCACACCTACAGTTTTTTTTTTTTTAATGAACATATACAATTACACGTACACAAAAACACTCCCACACACACTCAAGGGTATTCTTACACATACAAACACATCCATCGTGTATACAGGCTTTTTAGGCAGCCTGTCCTCTGCAGCAATGCTAAAGATTACAATATCTGTTTCCTTGATGTTAGCCTGTTTATACTTTAACATAACTTTGTTGTTGTTGTTCTACCAGTTGTCAGAAAAAGTAAGAGCATATCACTGCAAAACAGACTTTGACAGAGTCTGAATCTGAAAGTGCTTTGGTTAGAAATAATTGAGCACAAATAGTTGTGTTTGGATTTTGTCAAAATAAGACTGAATTTACTCTCAATAATATAGCACGCATAACACATCAAGATCAATGCAGAGAGAGACCTGTAGTTGTTAATATGTAACTGTTAAATATGAGTTATCCATCCTTTCTTCAGCCACAGGGACTAAAACATTTATGTAAGGACAAATCATTGCTGCGCTTTGTCTTCAATTTGTCATCGCTCCCCTTGTTTGAGAATCACTGCTTTAGATAAATGACAAGACGCATGAAACCGCACTCGCATCAACACATAAATCATTTTTTTTCTTCTTGTGCGAACTTACAAAGTAATGTGACATTCAGGATTTGAAAGGTTCTAGTCAGACGTAAATGTTTGCCAATCAGCATTTAAAACATTGTTTTTGCATAAAGATGAGGTAGACCGAAGCCGAGTGACGAGATTATTGTCATGGCAGCATTTTGAACTGAACAGTATCCAAGCCTGTCCAATACCAGACCTTTATTTATTCCAAACCGATGCGCTCCAGCTGTCCCAGCAGTCAGAGATGCCCCTCTGTGCTTCTTAAAGTAAGTGATCCACAAAGCAGCACAAACAAACAGCTGGCTAGCCGCTTCAAGACAGGCATCCACTCCGACAGGGAGCGAGTTTTCAGTTTGAAAGAATTGCTTTGCCTCTATTTTAGTGACAGAGGCACTTCAGAGGTGCACCACATCTCTGAAGTGCTGCTGTTTGGCCCAAAAACGGTTCCACACTGAGGCCAGCCTGCACAGATATGTTACAAAACACTGCCTAAGCGGAAAGCTGGGATGCAGGGTACAAATAAGACAATACTTACTTTAGTGTTAGCCTGCACCGTGCAGCTGGATTAGAACATAAACATTATTCACAGATATTTAATATTCAAATACTTTGGATCAAGATCAGCTTCATTAGGATACTTCATTATCTACATTTATCCATGATGCTGCAATTTTGGCCTCCTCTGCTTCACATATTTTCTCTCTCTGTCATAGTGGAGCCCTCATTGCTTCCTTTCAATTGTGTCTTTTTAATCCAATTTGCTTGTTCATTCGAAGCTTCTAGAGCCTTGAGATCTGTAAAGGGGGGGGGGGAAATAACAGCCAATCTGGCATCCCATCACTGAACACTGTCAACAACCTGGCAACGTGTGTGTGTGTGTGTGTGTGTTTGTGTCTTTCTTTTCAGTGCGTGTTTGTGTGTGTTCCACTATTCCTTTTTTTGTTTTCGGAGCAACACTGTCATCAGCTTGAGCAGCAATCGCCATGGTGATTGCAGAGGTAGGTTTCCCACTCAAAAGGAATGACGGAGGGAGATGGAGAGACCTGTGCGTGTGTGTGTGTGTGTGTGTGTGTGTGCGTGCGCACACATGCTTTTACATGCATCATGGACGCCTCTAAAGTGCAAAACAATGTTGTTTGCCCTGAAGCTCTACTCAAGTAACCCCTCCCTCCACTCCCACTTCATCATCCACACACACACACACACACACACATCTATTTCATAATTACACCGTACAGTCTTTTTTAAGACCATCAATAAAGTGTAACATGTATTGTACACATGGAATACTATAATAATTTAGGCTGCCATTTTTATGGCTGCAAAAATGGTAAAGTCTATAGAATACATATAATTATATTATTATAAATATTGGGAGGAAAGGATGTTTGAATAGTTGCATAAAAAAAATAAAGCATAAAAAAAAAGGAAAGTCCAAATACATTCACTCTTCATTTTTTATACCAAATTACTGCAAAATATATGCAGCTAAAAGAAATCAAGACGTGAAGAAGCGAAAAGCTTTTAATAGATTCATATATTCCTTAATGCCCCTGACGACCTGTACAGGGTGAACCCCGCCTCCCACCCAATGTCCCGCAGCCCTGCACAGCATCGACAGCTACAGATAATGGAGAGGTGGATGGATATATTCCACAAGGCTCACATAGCAAATGTATCGACTCTGTTTCCGAAGACGTCACGAGTGATTTGGTGCAGAAATAGAAACCCTGTCAACATGTATTAAAAACAAAGGTAACGGAGGCCACAGCTGTTGCTTGCTGAGGTTGTGTCTGTATGTGTGCATGCATGTTTGTGTGTGTGTCTTTGTATGTGTGTGTTGCACTTTGTCAGACACACACCTGCAAACTTGACACGACAGGAGGGATCTTTAAAAATCTTAATGAGTGCTAATTACAGCTAATTACATTGTTCAATCAAACTCCAGAATGTGTGTGTGTGTGAGAGAGCGGGAGAGAAGGAGAGTGAGAGCAACAGAATGCAAAACAATGTCGAGTAGTTTCCTGGCCAACCCGCACTAGTGTGTGTGTGTGTGTGTGTGTGCGTGTGTGTGTGTGTGTGTGTGTGTGTGTGTGTGTGTGCCCATTACATGCTTCCCTCTTTTCTTTTCATTTGACCACAACCCTCCTGCAATGAATTCAGTGCAATCGTCAAGAATCCATAAAGTTAAGTTTTCACTGTCGCAAGTCCATTAATCTATTCTTGACAATCCTGTTCCTCGTAAAGCCGGTGCAGAATCTTTATTTGATGCTATTTCGGTTCTCAGACTCGTTTTTTAAATTTCAAACAGCTTTAACTCAGGTCTTGTCTTTTATAGCCATACGTATCACAAGTAGAGCTGTCACGATATCAGATTTTAACTACACAATGATCGAGGCCAAAAGAATTCACAAGTTTAACTTGTGCACCTCTCGATTTTAAATGGTGACTGATGATGTTTTATTTACACGACATGGCGTTAAACTGATTTATACTTTACACCTTGATGTGTATAACCTACAGGCTCAGCTCCTGCAACTTTACCTTTAACTTTAACTTTAAACTTTGAGTTGTGCTCATAGACTTTATATAATTACTGAGTGTGCAAAGTCACCCGTTGGTTTGTGGACTGTCGTCTTAAAGCTTCGAATTCTGCATTTTGGCTGTCGCCATCTTGGTTTTCTTTGCAACCAGAAGTGACACGAGAGGGTCAAAAAGAGGTTGAAAACACGGACAACTATTAGACCGGACAATGCCGTAGTACTGACCTGTCAATCACAAGGTAGCCCCGCCCTAAAGCATACCCTTTATCGACTATTTTGCTCTAAATGAACATCATGCTGTATTAAAGAAGACTTGAAACTAAATCTACAGCATGATGTTCATTAGAGACCATAAACTCGTGTTTACTGAGGTAATAAATCAGGCGAGAAGTAGAGCCATGTTCTCATAGACTTGCATACAATCAGATTGATGGCCTGATGGCCATGAGAAAGAATGCTTAAGGCGTTTAAGACGCGGAGGTCGCCGCCTGGTTGTGCTGCACGTTGAAATCCTTGAGGGCTCTTTTTAACTTCAGCAACGCATGACGTGTTACCCTGACTCATTGTTTACTTAGATTTGAGGCTCATGAGAGACGTTTTAATTAGCGTTTTATTACTGACGACATTTTCACTTGAAATACGGATGCTTGTGTCCATTTTGAGGGGCTCTTAAATATCCAGGTGGCAGTTTGAGAGTTAGGCTCTCTTTCTTTCTTCATTCTCTTTCCCATTTTATTTTTTTTCTTCCCTGCCTCTTGTTCCCACAAACAAGTCTTCTCGGTGTTCACAGGGTCAGGGAGAAACCCTGGTGAACTATGAGAGAGCCAAGTGGGCTACAAGAACTCTGACACACAAAAAGGCTGATAGCTGTGAATACAAGCCTGATTGTATGTATTTGGAAAGGAAGGACAAAGAAAGTCTCTATCTGCCTCTGGTGAACCGCATGACATGGATTTGATGTCAATCTTCCTTTTGTGTGAGAGAATTATGAGTTTCCTTTTAGGGGAGAAAGTGTGATTGTGTCGGGGCATGGCCGAGAATAGATGGATCCTCGTGCTCTTATAATTATAATTGATATCTCATTCAGGTATTCTCCCTTCATTGGGAGTGTAATTAAAATGACGAGTGTAAGAAGTGTGTGTGTGTGTGTGTGTGTGTGTGTGTGTGTGTGTGTGTGCATATGCATGAGCCCCTGTTTGTGCATGCATGTGTGTTAGGCTGCAGCCCAGAAGTGGCCCAGACTTAATTACCCGTCTCTCGCCAGACACTGATTGCAAATCCATGTGTCTTGATTAGAGGATTCACAGTGTTTCCTCACACACACACACACACACGCACGCACACACACACACACACACACACACACACGCGTGTGGGGGAGAGATATTCCTTTAGCCCTTCTCAACTTTGGAGTGCTTTTCTGTGTCATGAATAAACTAAAATGAGGAAAGCATTTACCTCATAGCGAGTATGAACTTTTCAGATCTTGAGCATTTTGTTTTTATTCAAAACGCACGTTAAATTCATTCACTTCACTTTAAATGCCAAGCAGAGGAATATGAGCGT